TAAAATACACTATTATTAAAACATTGATCGAAATTACAACGAACTACATGAACTTTTATATTATGTTACTTGCTGTTACGGAACCCTTCATGGGCGAGTCCGATTCGCACTTGCCCGCTTTTTCTTATATGTGCAGCTTGATCCGAGCTTGATACGTAGGTCACTCAATAAGTTTTGAGACAAAAAGTATTCTAGATACTATTAATATTTATTTTACATATTTTCAAAATATTCTCCATCATGCTCTATACAAAGTGCCATTCGCCTAAACCAAATCTGAAATCACTTTTGCCAGTCTTGATCTGACAGGTCGGAAATCGCTTCTTTGTAGGCAACCACGGCTTCTTCAGCGCTTGAAAAGAACTTGCCTTTTATTTTTTTCTTTGACTCTTGGGAGCAAAAAGATATCACAAGGAGCTAAGTCATGGCTGTAGGGTGAGTGACATAGAGTTTCAACACCATATTCCTCAATAAATGCTCTTGTTCTAACGGAGGTATGTGACGAGACGTTATCGTGATGCAGCATGATTCCCCGAAACCCGGTCTTTGGTCTTCTCTCGCGCACAGCTTGAAAAGCTTTGGGTAATGCAACTGTTGTATTCCATTTAGTTGACTGACCTAGAATTTTCCAGCATTGACGTCGACAAATGTCCGCTCCGCGGTGGCACTAGCCACTATTTTTTTGCCGACGTTACGAGGTCTTTGCAGTTTTGTCAGTAACTGTCCTTCTGAGTAGACCCATACCGATGATTGCCTTTTATTTTCCGCATCATATTGATAGATCCATGTCTCGTCACCAGTAACGATTCTGAAACACGCCGAAGATGGCCCGTTTTCAAAACGTAGACGCATTTCATCACACCAATCCACACACGTCTATTTTTTGCTTTCGGAGAGCAAACGAGGGATCCATCGACAACAAATAGAATAGAATAATTTTTTTATTCAATATTAAATATTAATTATTACATAATACTTATTGAAAGTAATTTTTTATTTATTTACCACTAGTACCACAAAGCTTTCTCACTCCAAGATGTTGATGTAGGGTGGTATGAATGCTCCCTGAACTAATGCCTACAATCTTTTCGATGTCCGTATATGGGATTCGTGGGTCTTTTCGCACTAACATTTCAGTAGTCCATACATTATCTGCCGTTACTGCTGTTTGCGGGGCCCCGGTTCTTTGGTCATCTTTAAGATTAATTTTACCCCTTTTGAATTCAGAAAACCACCTAAAAATTGTTCCGCGTGATGGAGCTGAGTTCCCTACTGCTGATTATAACCGCTGTAAGCTTAATTGTTCGGTTATAAATCAAATTTGAAATCATAATATATCATAGCGCACAAATGTTCTCGGTTAAGATGCATCGTTTTAAATGAAAAGCGCGGGAAGCGTTGCAGGAAAATTAATGGAAATTATACCTCAGGGGATTTCATATAGCGGATGATAACAGATAATTTTTTAGTAAAACGAATCAAAATTTGTATCAAGACTATAGATTAAAAACAAAGAGTCATATGTTTTATTACTTTTGACAATTCTACTTTAAAGGGGGTAAAATGAAGGATGAAAGATTTAATTATATCTTTGATTAAATCTTCGATTAGAAACTGAGGAACACGTGTTTAAGGATTTTTGTATATAGTACGAAACCTATCCAACTGCAGAGAGGTGTAAGACAGGGTGACATAAATCCCCGAAATCTTCACCTCTGCATTGGAAGACATTTTCAAGCCACTGGACTGGAAACATATAGTCCTTATGGCAGAATTGCTGTAGGACCTAAGCACTATGCTCAATGACCTCAATAGTGCTTCCCAACGGATAGGTCTTAAGATGAACATGGACAAAACAAAGATTATGTGTAACGTCCATGCCATACCTATGTCGGTAGTTGTTGGGAGCACGAAACTCGAAGTTGTTGACGAGTATGTTTACCTGGGACAAATAGTCCGACTAGGTAAGTCCAACTTCGACCGTGAGGTCAATCGACAGATTCAACTCGGCTGGGCAGCGTTCGGGAGATTACGACACATCTTCTCGTCAGGTATACCTCAAAACTTGAAAACGAAATTGTACAACAGTGCGTGTTGCCAGTGACGACTTATGAATTTGAGACGTAGTCCTTCACTACTGGCCGTATGAGAAATTTCAAGGTCGCTCAGCGAATTATTGAGATTGCTATGCTCGGGGTTTCTTTGCGTGATAAACTTACGTACCGGTAGGCGAAGTGTAGGGCTATCCCCCACTAAATGGCATAACGATTTGGTAAAACATGCAGGAAGTCGATGGATGCAGGTGACTCAGGACCGTGCTTTGTGACATTCCTTATGGAATTCAGCAGTGGACTTGTGAAGGGCTGTAATGATGATGATGATAGTGAAGGGAAAAATAGGGGATGAAAGCTACTAACCCAGCGAGACTTTTTTAAAGTAAATATTACATTAACGGTTTTACAAACTATTTACAAAATTTATTTTAGAAACTGCTTGGAAGCGACCACCTCATTCCCAGGGGTTATTATCAGCCATGTATTCATTTATATTATAATAACCCTTTTAATACAGTAAAATTTGGTAATAGAGAGAGCCTGTACACTTTCCGGGACCTTATTGTAATAGCGTATACATTGCCCCAAGAATGAATTACTGACTCTGTGGAGTCGAGAAACTGTTATCACTAGCTTGTGTTTGTTCCTAGACAAACTAAACTACCTTTGTTTTTGTGAACATACATAAAATATTCGTAAATATACTGATGATTTGGCCTCCAAAGTTAATATATTTATTTCTTTAAAGTCTCTAAGAGACTCTCTGGGATTTAGGTTGTAAATAGCTCTAATGACCATCTTCTGTAAAACAAAAATAGTTTTTGTATCAGCCACATTTCCCCATAGCAAAATCCCATAAGACATTATGCTATGAAAATAACTCAAATAAACTAATGTAACTGTCTCGACACTAGTGAGACCTCTAATCTTTTTACAGTATAGGCTGCAGAACTTAGTCTGTTTGCTAGTTTGGATACATGGGGGCCCCACTGACGCTTTGCGTCGAGCGTGATACCAAGAAAAACATCGAGATTCAACAGGGCTCAGTTCTTCCCCATTTAAAAACACACTGGTATTCAGATTTTTAACATTCGTTGTTGTAAATTTAACACATTTAGTTTCATATACGTTTAAATGCAGATTATTAACGTTAAGCCAATGCACTAATTTTGATATAGCATTATTCAATTCGTCACATTTAAATGATTGATAGAGCCTATATAACCACAGCTGAACATAACCTTTCCCCCACAGATTGTCTCTTAAGGATATTTGCCACAATTACCACGTTTGGCGGGCGGGTTGGCAAACGCATTTTTTTTGTTGTTATTAAGAAGACGCTGGTGCTCAACTCCTGGTTTGATTTCTTCGTTGCTTATCACACTCACGGGACGATATGTGTTAGTGGATATTCTAACACTACCACAGCAGGTGTAAGATGCACCTAAATTAGTTTATTATTATTATTATTATTAACATTTACCTTAATTATACGATTTAAAAAAAGATATTTGAAGCTTAATAGACATAAATAAAAAGGGTTAAAGTATGAAAATGTCGTTCAATATAGAAAAATTGAAATACTCCTCTAAGCACATAAGTTAATTCACGAGGCGCCCATTTCTCGAGCTTTTTTTATTTTACCAATTTGGTGCAACTGAGTCAATATTGTGGATAAACTAACATAAAACCATGAGGCCAATTCCTTCGTTGTTTAAAAAGGATCGGTTTCCGTCATTACCTTTAACTCATAGTTAATTTACCCTTGTGTCTGGTATTACTCGTGCTTCAAAGCCGAGGTTTAAAGCTACAAAAGCAATGAAACAAAAAAAAATTCAGTGCCACAGTATAAACATATAGTAGTCATTAATCGTATAGTTTCCAAACGCAGCATTGATATTGCGAGTTGTCTCTACTGCGTTAAAACCCCGTCGGACCTCGTTGTTCGAAAATTACTTTAATTTTGGGGTCTCCATGTTTAAATCAAATATTGAATGTAAATAGAATAATTAATTTTTGTTTAATAAATGTTTTAATCAAAAATCTTGGACCATACCAAAGTGGCCACTCCATTAAAACGGCAACTTTATACTTTAACCCCTATTAATTATGTAAACAAACGGTACCTTGTGAACAAACTTTCACCATTTTTATTAAAGTGATTTTACTGTTACGCTTGATACACTGTGATGTGTAATTATATGTAATGCACGTAACAAAATAGCGTACTCCGTAGCTACATCTACCTAGCATCTTAAATATTCTAATAGTATTCAAAGTCGACACTGAATCTCATTACGTATCCTATGACGGAAGTGTTAGTAAAGAGTACGACACAATACAAGGAGTTACGGTTAAGTTTGAATGGCAGGTAATGATATGTAAACGGTACACCCACTCACCGGTATCGCTCGACACTAAATGACGAGCCCTTATAACTCGCAAAAATAAAGGGTGTTTTCAATTTTCCATGCTATAACACTACAATCCATGAAGATATAACTAACAAACACTTTTTAGGTACCTGAGTAGGCTACTAAACTACAAAAACCTTTAGTTGGTGCCTACAACCAAAAACTAGTAGTTACAAGGTGAATATAACGAAAATCCCGTAATTAAAACAAGATAAAAAACTGACATATTTACAGTAAAACACAGAATATGATGTAGAAAATTCAGATGCTATATATTTAAATGTCAATGTCTCAACACTTTTATTTAAAATCAATGTATTCAAAACACAACAACTTTATATTTATAACGAATAAGGAATAAATAGGATAATATTCGAGATTAGTAATTTTCCTACTATTTAAAAGCAAGCATAACCATTTGTCACGAGAAATTTGGTATATTCTGTGACTCTGGCTTCCAATAAAATACGAAAACTTATTTAAAAAATAACAAAAATACCAATAAATAAAGAATTTAAAAAAGGTAAATTACCTTCACGTCGCTGTCTCGACGAGTCGAATGTTTTTCGTTTCTTGACCGTCATTTTCTCACAAATTTTAACGTGCTTGGCCAATGATTGTGGCACAAACGTCCGACCACATACCGGACACGGCATGAGCGGCAAAGGTCCTGCAGGTTCGGGGGCCACGGGTGCCACAGGATTTGTCGGGACTGGGGGCGAGGGCGGTGGACCAACATGTCTCGGCGAGGGAGTCCTCAGCAGAGGCCTATATGACTCGCAAGGTGAGGTTTCCCCCGCCGGCTCTGGAGAAGGGGAACGGGACGACTTCGCTGACTGTTCTTGATTTTTTTGCCGTTTACCTGAAACAATTCCGATTTTTTTTAATATTTTCAACATTACTGCAATATAACAATTTGTCGAATTAACAATAACGTTGAATGTGGTAGTCTACGTTTTTTTTAATCCTATTTCTAGCTTTTAATTACTTGAGTATTTTCGTGATGGTTGCTGAATATCAAATAATGAATTTATATAGCAACATAGCAAGCAATAGGTACACATTTACAAAAATTTTATTAAAATCAGTTGAGCGGTTTCGGACATCATGAGACGGGATTTTTATATAATAAAGATAAGACTTATTTAACTACGGGCTGATTTTTTAATTATCAGATAAAATATAACATATTATAAGAATATAAAATAAAACAATTTTATTGTAACAAAAATGTTATATTTTATTCTACGAGTAACTTTTATCTGATAATTGATTTGATATGTCAGTTTCTTCAATAAAATAATAGTCGGCAACTTTTTGGTAATTTGTAATTAGTACTCGGCTTAGTAAATACTCTTATTCGACCGAAATTCGGGTATTTTCTTATTGTTTCATAAATGTTTTATAAATTTTCAATAAATTTATCTCCAAACCTGTCGAGCCATCAAACAACCGCACCGCACCTCAAACTGCGAGTTTTTGAGTTATACTTCTTTTGGGGCGTTTGGGAAAAATGAGTGAATTTTGACAATGCGCGCGCACACTAACCTAAAAGCGACAACTTCAGTGGGTAATTTTCTCTCAAGTTTTTTCGTTTTGTTACGCTAAAGAAGTATAACTTCCTCCGTGCGTACACAATACACTTACTTTTTTTAATATATGTAACGAAATTACATTCTTGGTGTTTTATTTGGTATTTATGCAAATATTATTAAGCATTTAGGCAATAATGTCAATTTTATATAATACTAGCGATCTGCCCTGGCTTCGCACGGGTGATGTCTGATCTCGACAACATCTACCGGGTCTAAATGTGAAATTAAACAATCTAGGCACCCGTTCAAACACACACAAGCAATTTCATCAAAATCGTTCTAGTGGTTTTTAAGTATATGCGAGACTAAGGGACATTAATTAATTTTTATATATATAGACTAGTTGTACCTGGACACGCGTTGATATGGCTTAGTTAGTGTTTAAAAAAACACGCGTATTCGAATGCAACATGGTGTCAAAATTACGAGCAATCGGTGAAGAACTTTTGAAGATTACATTTTGAAAACATTTCATTTTTATTTATATACTTATCTTCACGCACAATCCCTGACGGGGTAGCCAGAGAGAACAGATCGCCAAGTGTCACGATCCTTACAAACACAATCCTTGCGATCTCTTCGTAAAATGTGCGGCGTTACCATGGCCGACCGAAAGCGAAACGAAGAGATTCGCAATATGGCAGGTTTGAAAGATGACCTTATCACAAAAATTGATAAGGGCGTGCTTCGGTGGTTTGGGTCGAAGCACGTTGAGCGAATGAGTGAAGACCGAATGGTGAAGAAAATATATAGCGCGAAAGTTAATATTAAAAGGTGTCGAGGTAGACCGAGACTAACTTTCGAAGACCATGTGAGCAAATTGCTCGAAGAGGGTAGGGTCAAAAGTACTCGGATACCTAGACGTGCATGCATGAAGAAGATAATGAATCTGAAAGAAGCGAAAGAGGTTTGTAAGGATCGTTTATTTATATAAATTAAATATTTTAATGAGAATTTTATCTTTGATAATTTCGACCCCGGAGTCGATTCCTGAAAAACAATCAACCCGTTCGCGTAAGTTCCGAAAATCTTTTTTATCTGATGCAACCATTGCGCTATAAGATCTAGAACGAAAGTATCAAGAATACACCATAGTGATGTGATATTACAATAAAATTTCGCTTTTCTACAATGTTTATCAAAGCAAACAAATTAAACAGAAATGGAAAGGTCGCATGAAATATTGAAATTCTCACGACTGACGACATGATGAGATGATGACGCTCGTTAGGTAAAAACTTCGCTTTTACTCTCTCTAACTCAAATTACACATTTCTTTCACTTTCCGATGGTATTGGATTACATTAAGCGTACCATTGGAAATGTTTCTAACGTAATATAATCCTAGAAATAATCTGATACTTTTTTACTTCGCATAAACGTCATGTGTCATATTACAAAAAGTGGTTTATTGATAGTCTCGCGATTAATTAAACTATAATTTGAGAAGAATCTTCTCTAACTGTACACTGTATTTTAATGTGGCAGACCCACGCTGCACCTATATTATGGTTGTAGTAGGAATGGGTCAGCTCTGTCGGGGAAGTAACCACGCTCTCTCAGAATTCCAGCGTAAAATAGTAGTTAAATGCCGCTGTGTTTCGTATGGTGAGTGTTGACCGTTTTACTGGCAACGAGGCATTCCATCTTAGTCCTCAGAGGTGACAACGCATCTGCACTTTGAATCATCACACAGTCTTAATTGAGGATAAATGTCTCTCTATGATCTATGGGCCACAGCATCCTCTTACCATCAGGTGGACTGTGTGCTCGTTTGTCACCCTTATTAAGTGGCGAAGCTTGCGAAGTCACTTATTGATTTCACGATGTCTGTCCGTCTGTCCCACGATTATCTCGAGAACGGTTTTGAATTTTCAAATTCTGTTTTCAGCAATCGATTACTGATCACCCAGGCATCTGAACCTCCTATTTTGAAACTGATTGCTCAACGGCAACCGTTAGAAACCGCTACAAAGCTGATTGCTTCGCCACTTTGCTATGCTGTTAGCTTGCTAGGTTTATTCTATAAAAAAAAAAAAGAACACTATAGTTCATATATGTATATCCGTGGTACTTCTTTATTGAAACAGACTCTAGTTTAGACCTGAGACTGAGTATAAATTAGTACTACATAAGTCTACTAAGACATATGTTTCTATGTAGTAGTTTAAGATAATGTGCAATACTAATATTAGAGTTGGATGACAGAAAAAAACAACAATTTCCTATATTTACGTGATTATTTTTTGATAGTGAATAAATCAAATTGTTCAGTAACGGCGGCATCATATGGAATATGGGTGTTGCAAACTACTGTAAGTAACTTAAATGCGACATTTTCCGTAAAATTTGTATTATTAAAAAAAAGAGGAGCAGTTACTCGCTTTGTTGCAAATTCTAGACAAAGGGTTATGGTGTAAACCGAGTAAACAGGTGAAAGAAGAAGACTTGCTACTTATCAACACTTGTTTACGTGTTATGAATGTTTGTGTCATATAAAAACTTGTATAATATGCTTTAATGTTCCTGTTGCAAGGCCTATGTTCATCAGTGGTCTTTAATAGGCTGTACCGTAAGTTACATTAAAGCATAAACAAGTATTTATACGACCTACATTATGTAACAAAAAAAAGTTTAGCGATACAAGTTCAGTTCAACTACCATCTTTATCTGAATACAGGGATCGTGCTATGATTTCGGAGTACTACAAATAATGGAAACTGGTGATAAAAATATATGCATTGTGTATTGATAAGCCTGCATGATTGTATGGGAGCCTAATAATCCATACCACAATAAGAAATTCACCTCGTATCGAAGGTTTGTATTATTAGAATATAATGCGATTGTAAACCCGTAACATAACTCACAAGGGCATGTGGCAGGTAAACATGACGCAAGCTACTAGCCACAACCATCGATTAGGCAAATTATTATAAGGTAGTCACGCGACATGTTCTGAGCTTATGCTTTGCGACAATCTCTCATTTGTGGAATTATTATGGTTAAATAATAAAGTTTCTAACACTAGCAAGCGCTTAAAGATAACATTTTGTAGTTTTGCAATATAGACACTAAGTACTGTATTTTACTTTGAGTTTAAATTTTAAAATACAATAAAAATTCGTTCCAGTCAAAAAACATTTAAGCTTTTAAATATAGACAGTATTTAAATTTTTTATAGTGCGACTGGAACATAAAAATCATCGCTGTATTACGGATAATGGCGAAACTAATTCCATTTACTAAAAATAGTTACTTGGTCTCTCTGTCTTACCTAACTTTTGTCTAACTTAACTATAAACGTGGTCAACATGAGTAAGCGTTCAAATATCGTTGTCAACCCAATTGATTTTTTCATTCTGAAAGTGTATTAGGTTCTAGAATAAAATGAAGAAATATAATTTATGCAATATTATGATGACCTATTCGATATTTAAGCTACAAACGGGTAAGATCTATTTCGTAAACGAAAACATGCGGTAATTAACAGACATTTTATATTATAGAGAAATTGATGAATTTTGACTGTTGTATCAAATTGTTTGCTAATTTTGAGGCGTCTAGTTTTTTGTAGTAAGAATAAATATAGATAGCATAAAATCCACTTTAGGTGCTTTTCAACACCTAAAAATCGTCCAAGAAAAACACTTAGAAGACGCACGAAACACTCGATTTTTATGTTATTCGTTAAAGCGTTCGGCTTTTAGTAGAACATTACATGAGAGGCTTTCGAATGTCATTAAATTAAGACGTGGCGAGAAATCATAATCACTTAGAAACAGAGCTGAATCGAGAGGTAGGTACCTATGTATCACCGAGTAAATTACGGCTAATTGAATGGCATGCTCAAATACGAATACTATATTTACAAAAAAATCACTAGGCCAAGGAATGTTGGCGTGACTACATTAATGACTACCATATTAGGTCCAGAAGAAGTGCCATTACAAGATATTTTTTTCAGAAAGCTAAATTATAATAAAACTATTACTACACTATACGAGTACTTACTGAAGCAACACAGAAAACGGTACATCGAAGTAATCATAGGTATAATTTAATTCCGTTTCAATTTATATTTTATTCTGTTACGACTGGTGTTTATTTTAACTTGAACAAGACGCGCAGGGTATCCTTTTAATTTTCAATTGATGAACGACACTATACCGGTTTCATTCACTACTCGATCGTTAACATAAATTATTAGATATTATGCAAGAAATACGCAAGTCTTTAACGTTCCGAGTCAAAACGTGTAGTGCGA